CCATAAAAACAAAAAAATGTTAAATTTGTTTGGTCAGATACTAATAATTGCATTTCTTTTGTCAGTTTTATCTTTGATAATTTTATTATTTTGTTGTGAGTGATGACACTATATTCCGGGATATCATCCGTTCGCTTGTTGAACTCCGACTGGAATCCTGCAGACGTTTCGCCAAAATCTCACTTGGCATCTTCAATGCTCGCGCTCCGAAAACACTTCGAACACTGTTTTCGATGAAAAATATATATATATATATATATATATATATATATATATATATATATATATATATATATATATATATATATATATATATATACAACGTTAATAACAGAAAGAAACCGTATATATATATATATATATATATATATATATATATATATATATATATATATATATATATATATATATATATATATATATATATATATACGGTTTCTTTCTGTTATTAACGTTGTATATAACTGATTCTTGTGTTTGTTGTTCATATACCCTGATGAAGTTAAAAAGCATTTATAAAGTTATTATGTACATACTTATTTATATACTAGTGGAGACCTATTTTAAATACAATATCACTTAATGTACACCAATAATATGTTAGCTGCAACAAAAATTACTAGTGGACAAGAAAATACATCCAGGAAGGAAACATACAGATTCGATTCTATGATAGAGGAGGTGAGAAATAAAAACGACAAATGCGTAGCCCTGAGTGGAGCGCATAAAGGTGTTTTTGTTAAGCGTGGTGTAAAAAAATTTTAGTGCATAATGTTAATTCCAAGAAAGACTGAAGTCCGGTGTAAGCCTTATACTGATTAAGAGTTTGCAATGATACTTGCCGCAGGATGCTTGGCTCTGGAAGCCCTGGACGTGTACCGCGTAAGGACTCTATTCGTATTCCAAATGAAACAGTATTAAGACCTGAGAGACAAAATATTATGAAAATCTTGATCAGATTCAATCAGAACCTTTGACTGACTGAACTCTTGAAAGTTCTGAATTTTGTGGTGAAAATTTAAGGGATTTCGAGGCCTAGAAAAGGTAATTAGATAACATTCAATTATTATTTTAGTATCACTAGTATATCACTACAATTGCTGTTGTTTAAGTTAACGAAAACAAAGCTGCTGCTGTTCTGGTTGTGACAGAGAAACAGTGGAAACGACGTTAAGCTCTCCTTCCGTTGTTGCTTACCTGTTCAATTTTTATTACAAAATCCGGAACGTGGGCTAGGGTGAATAAATTACGGTTGAACGGCTCGTTTAACAACGCAAAAAAATGACACAAACAAAGTAAAATGGTTGTATCGATTCAATGCTCAAACGTTCGAGAATAATCCTTTATTTATCTCGAAACGGTTGGTCTGAGATTGGATTCTGCTCTTGTTAGGAAGTAAGGATTTCAATAGAATTTCCACCGGGGTGCGATTTTTGAATGCTCGAGTGTTAGATCGTAACAACCTCGTTAAAATGATTGTCGAAGGATAATTGCTGCGACAAGAGTTGCAACGGATTAATTGAAGTGCAGTTTATATTCGAGGGAGGTACAATTATGCATTGAAATATGGTCGAAAGGGAGCAGATAAATCGTAACCTTGGCAAAATGGGTCAGAAGTTCGTTTTGAAATTCATCTTTTGAAATTTACCGTTAGAAGAACCGTGGTCGAACTTGTAAAATTTCCGTTTTCTTATCATTATTAAATATTACCGAAAAATATCCACTAAATATATATTTAGTGAACTGGTCCTCTATCTTACACAACAATAACCATATTTTTCTGAGCATTGGAAATTAGCTACCGATGTGTGGGTTTCCAAGGTCAGTCAACCCTCCGAATTTGCACTAATTTTTTCAAAAATTGTTGAGAAAATTTTAAAATATCAGTGCAAGTGCTTATGTGAAGTTAAATCTTTATACTCACACACTATTTGAACCAGGACGCAAAAATAATCTGGGTATCTCCATTACTTATTATTAATTATCATTTTAATTATAATTTATAGTCATAAAATTGAAGTTTACAAAAAGGCATTATTTAAACAGGTCAACAGATTTAAATTTTTTGACAGATGTTTTTATTTTGGAAACAAATTTTATAATAATTTTGGTAGGCTAATTTCCAAAAAATGCTATGTATGCATTTATTTCTATAACGTAATAATTTATTTTTTCATTCAGTAAAAAAGTGGAATCGTAGTTTAGAAAAGTGGAAAAAAAACTATACTCAGACTTTTTTGAGTGAAGTCTTCGTCTTTTCGCCAGAAAGCTGCGTTGTCCAGACATTCTCCATCTGTCTTGGTCAACCTCTCTCCCTGTTCTTCGCTAACCGCTCCAAAATTTTCAGGAAAACAGCTCAAGCGTGAAAACAGGAAATGCACTTTCAAACTCATATTACAACCTAGACAATAACAGTTTTGTAACACATTTTGAACAATACTTTCGTTGTTTTCGTCCTTAGAGTTTCCAAGTAACTTATCAACTACTTCGTTTTTGAAAAATGTTCTTATCTGCGGCCCAACAAAAATACCTTCTTTTATCTTGGCATCGATATGGCTGGAAATTTCTCGCACAAATGTTTGAAACAGTGTCCAATGGCTAGAGGGCTATTCTATTTGAATCACAAATAAAGCATGGGAATATTGTATAACCCCCCTGTCATCCTAGGAGTATGCACAACACTTTAAGGTCACCATAAAGCATCCAATGATGTTCTTGTTAGTAAAGTGTTGTGTCTTTTGATTAATGACTCCTTTGAAAATGGCATTTTTGAAAGCCAACTTAAACACACACCACTATAAAAAGGGGATCCCGAAATAATTACAAATTACAGACCGATTAGCATTTGCAAAAGATTCGTAGAGTTTTTTAGTAAATATTAAACTGTTCAACAATCATCAGCATGATTATGTACCGTCATATTTAAACTTATAAAAACAATCTTAAAGCACTTGGAGGCCGATCGAATAGCTTGAGGTAGATCTTTATAGAGCATACGACTGCATACATCGGGAGTTATTGCTCGAAAATGGGATTTAGACGGTGTAACAGATAGTGCGCCAAAATTGTTTGATGCATAGTTATTAGAAAGAAATGAAGTAAAAATAATCGAAAATGCAGTAGCTACCTTTCGGACATTAGGGAAAATAGTCTGGGCATCGCACAAGGTCGTATTTTTGGCCCAATTTTATTTTTCAGTTTTATTTTGTAACAAAGAAAATTTGATCATAATATGATATGCGGATGATACCAACGTGCTTGTAGGTGAAAATAATCTCACCCGTGCGGTAAAATCCCGGAAATTTCCGAAGTGGCTGAGATCCGTAGGAAACGAAATTGACGTGGTACAGTGACGCTTCCCGCACCCTGGATCGGTGTGTAATTTGGCATTTTACAGACGGGAGTAGAAAAAATCATTTATTAATTATAAGCGCAATCTGAAGGGCACTTTTTGAAAAATTATTTTTTATGAACAGGTATAGTTAACAAATCTTGTCTACGAATATTTATTTGTGAATATCCGTACGATATGTTAGTTTTTCAAGCAGATAGGGAGAACATTTTGACTTTATTATTTTGTAATACAGACTTACCGAATGCAAATCACGTCGCTGAACCATGGAAAGTCATCAGAACTCTTAAAGCTTATAGAAAACTCTTTGTCTTCGCCGAATTCTAAATGCTACCCTTATACAACAATTTTGGACTTTTTGTATCCTTTTCATATCAATAGAATCCAGAAATGCATACATTGTATCAGCAAAATTAAAATGTGTTTCACACAGAAATGACTTTGGGATAATGGATGTATAATAACTTTAACAAGAATCTGAGTTTTATATTCCCGAATGTTATCGTTACAGAATAACAGGGCAATGGGTTCATATGAAGGCGGTGTCCATCACAAACTTTTAAGAGATTGTATGAGTCAAAGTTTAGAAAGTCGTTAACAGTACTAACCTGCGACGGGAAAAATGACGTGTAAATCTGGGTATATGGGCGAATAAATGATACTGACCATAATGAAGAGACTTTACGAAGTTAAACGTATATATACTATAAAGGTAGGGGCCCAGAATACTTCCTCGAGGCTCCTATTCTAATCTTAATTATATCTGAAGAGCAGTCATCGCAAACGACCTTCTGATACCCGTCGGTCAAAAATGACAATACTAGTGAGAAGGCAGGCATCAAAACCAATATACCTTAAAATATGTATGTATCATATCACAGGCTTTAGTATGATTAACCATAACTAGAACCGTAGTACTATTCTCATTGCATGCGTTTACTACGTCATCCATAACATCAGGTAGCTGAAACCTCTTCTAAATCCAGACTGTCTATAGGGGCTAATATAATTGGTTATTAGATATGGAAGAATTTGAGATTCCATTACTTTCTCTAGAACTTTTGAGAGTACCGGTAATATATCCAGATGTATCGTAAGTGGCTAAATTCAGTTGGATTGTTAGTTAGCTTCAAGCGTTTGGAAAAATACGATTCTTGAACGCAACAATTAACAAAATAAGTAATATAGGGAATTATAAAAAGGCAGCAGAGAATAATAAGAGCAATATTTAACATATCTGCTCCAAAGCCTTTGTCCTAATATTTAGAATAATATTAGAAAAAGTTGTCTCAGAAACATTTGTAAGTGAAAATGGTGCAATAATTCACAATTAGGTACAACATTATTTCCTATTATTTTTGTGAAATATTTGTTCATTTGATCCATGTTCTGTAAATTTTTATGATTTTCGCTGCCCGAGTCTCCCCTGGTGTCTTCTCCTTTTTTAACACCGTATTTATAATACAATGTGACATAAAGTTATTATAATTATTATGAACTGTTAATCCTGATATACAAGAAATTTGCCGTCTCTCTCTAATTTTTTTGTATTATTGTTATTATTGATCTCTTTTTTATCTATCATTCGACGTGTTCCGTATAATTCTTTAGCAAATAACTATGGAAACAATTACGTAGTATCATTTACCTTCGTACACAACTCCCGCGACCAATAAATCAGATGTAAATAGTTCGTGAGACACCGTCAAGTTTAATAAGTCATTTTCAATTGTTTCTGTATCTGACTGGTACCCGCACTTATCTTCCATAACATCGACCTTTGGTCTCCGACGGTCATTTCCGGTGCTAACCGGTGGCGGTCCAGGTGACCGTCCCGGAGGGGGATCCCCGTCTACTCCGGATCCGGAATAATTTATACTCAACACCTCTCGTCTGCAAAACAATGTCAACATCAATAACGAAAGCGCCAGTACCGCGAGCGCGTTCATTGTCACGATTCGTTTGTCATTTTTTTCTCACGACACGTTGTTTGTTTACCACAGGACGACACACGGAACCCGAAGATTTTTCCTCGACCGACATCAAACCGTCACGCAAAAGAAAGGAAACGTTCGTATTCGAAGCCTGCCGCTAATTTGCGATAAAACGAAAAATGGCGCGAAAATCGTTTAGTCGATAAACCCGACGAGTGCGAATGCAACTTTCGGCGGGGGTTGGTGTGACGAGTACGGCCGCTCTAACGACCAAACAGAGACTGAGGCTAGAGTTTTCCGTTTCGGTTAGAGCCGCATGTCTGGACGCTCGCCGATCGATTTTAAGGCACGAAATTGTGAAACACCTGGGCTTTGTGAGCAATTAAATTAATATTGCTCGCGTTTTATCGCTTCTGCGGGGCTTCTTATTGCTTTTTTCTACAGGCATTGGTCCCGAGCGTAAGGCGTACCGTCGCATGTGTCGGAGGACACTGGGGAAGTGGCCCAAGTGTACCTTATCGAAATCACGTGCAAAAAGTTTCTAAAGCCATTATACACAACCAAATGCTCATTTTGGGTTCGGTCCTGATTGGTATTTGCTTTCAATGAATGTGTGGGCTAGGATATAAAAATTACATTAGCGGATGTGTGTACGCTATAGTAAAGCTTTTTTAACCTCAATACTTATCATTAAATGCCACTTAAATTGCCACCAGATTGCACTAATTAAGCTATTGCCATAGCTTCTATTTAATAAATAATGACAGGTAAGTAAATAAAGAAAACTTTTTATATATTGTATTTATTAACATTAATGAAAAAAACATCAACAAGTTTAAATAAATAAAAAATAACAATCGAAACAACGCATACATCATTTCTTGTTTGCAATAAGATTTCTGAAACATTAACAATTTTTGCAAGTTTGCAAATAAAACACATATTTTAAAACACCTAATCTAAAAATAACAATAATAACAAGTAATCTAAACAACAAACAAACAACACCAGGTTGGAAATCCATATTATATTTCACTATCAGCTTTCAGTTTAAAATAATGTAGTCAAGAGGAAAAAAGAAATCTTATATGTGTATGTAAGTAGAACCAAGAGTAGGAGCTGAGTTGGAGCACACTCAAGATTTTTTTATCTTTTATCTTTTACAAAGATAAGTTACAAAATATATATCTAATAATATTGAAGATTCCTATAACGACTCTTTCAGAAATTTACAGTTTTTATTCATATTTAATACTTATGATATAATACCATATTTACTACTAAATATTTATAAAACCTATATTGTTTATTTACTCTACCTACTTCGCTTTTTGGTCCTGACTTAAAAAAACATATATTTTATCGATAATTTTGATGGACTTTTTCAATATCCAATTGCCCATAATTAGCTAATAAATTTCCTTAAATTACTTTTTCTACTCCCGTTTGTAAAATACTTAATTACACACCGATCTAGCGTGCGGTAAACGTCACTTTACTCCATCAGTTTCGTTTCCCATGGATTCGCGACACTTCGGACATTTCCGGGATTTTACCTCACGGGTTTGGGATTAATCGGATGTTTTCGGCGATATTTCCCACGCTTTGAATTTTGACGTTTGTCAAATCTGACGGCCATGTCAGTGAATGTATTTGTGTTGTTTTGCGAAACTGAACCCAAAAACTAATGGTCGTAGAAAAAGTATAGCATGCAACACGTTCGGTAAACTTTTTGAATCACTCGTGAGTCAAATGCCGTTTACCGCACTTGTTGCATAATATACTATAATAATGCCATTGAAATTCCACTAATGACCACTGATTACCTCTATAATCCCAAATTTTTATTTTTAAAGGAACCCCAAGAGCGATGTCAAAATTAGTATCTAGAGAGAATTTTTTTTTTAACCCATGTGCGACAAATTGGGATTTTCAAAGTTATCTCATAATATAACTGCTTTAAAAATGCAAATTGATTTTTTTTACTAAAGTAAGATACAGTATGTTTATATGAAGATATTTGTTAAAAAACTTACCTGCAACAATTTCAACGTGCATTTGAATTTCGAGTGTAAGCGACAAATTCTCTTAATTTTGTAAAGCGAATGAAACCAAAGCAGTAAAAAAAGAAGATTATTTTTTTATAAACAATTCTAGAATTTTGAAGTAACCTTTAAGGCCCCCACAGACGCTCAGCTTTTTAAAACAGGCCGTGTGTGCAAAGCTAGTTTGTGCAGGCATATCGGTGCGTTTGTGTGAACGTCCGGTCGACTGCGCAGGCCGTTGGCCTGGCCTGAGCAAAATCAGACCGTGCTTGAATTTAGCCTGCTCAAACTTGGAAACCTGAGCGTGTGTGGACTCGTTCAGTTGATTTGTTCAGTTTTAAGGTTTATTTAGAATCCAAAAATAGTAAGCAAAAAAAGGACGAATGTTAACAAACAGTTTTTAAGCGAAATTATTGAGGTATACAAAAGCTTACCATGTTTATGGAAAATGAAGAGTAAAGAATACAGTCGCAGAAATAAAAAGTCGTTGTTACGTCCATTCTTAGGTAGTTAAACGAATCCTGCTTCTCAAATTTCAAACCAGCAAGCAAATTGACATGGGAGTAATCATTTCTTTTGAGTAACCAATCTTTGGCCCATTTGCTTCTTTGAACCAACCGTTGCTTTTTTTTATTTTTCTTTATTGCACAGGCAAGCACAATGCAATACAATACCGTGTATCGAGAAGCCATTTTCTTTTACTAAGTATAGAAAAACCGTGCCAAAACTAGTGAGTGTGAATTTACCCAGTTCGCTGTATAGAAAGAACTGTGTTATAAAACTGCGTGTGTGTGGGCCAGACAATAGTACAGTTAAACTGCACAAATTGGCCTGCACAGTTGGCCTGTGCTAAAAAAACTGAGCGTCTGTGAGGCCTTTAAGTTTTGTTGTGCACGCCACACGTCATTAAGTGAATGTGTATATACAAAAAAAGGAATTGATAAACTTTTTTAGTTCCTCGCGCCGCTTGCACCAAAACAAATTTGTGACTAAAGTGTGGTTTATGAAATTTGTACTATTATTATACTATTAAACACGCTCAACAACTTACACAAACACTAGGATTGAAATTTAAAACATTATTAACAAGACCAATATATAAAAACCTTAAACAATAGCCAACAAGGTTTTCATTTTCCTCTACATTCGAATAAAATAAGTTAAATTGTAATTTGCCTGCCCAATAAGAAGTGTTTTAATTTAAATTTCAATTAATTTAACCTACTGGCTGTGACGTGGAATTTGCTTGTATATACAGCCGGCCACGGTTCGAATCAAATTCTAGGAACCAATAAATTCGCTTTTATTTACTGTGAAAGATGATACTTAATATCGCGGAGTTATGAGATTTGCGCCAAATTATCAAGCTCCAGGTATGCAGTATTCGATAACGCAACATATAGCTAATATAAACAATGCATAAATAATGACTGGAAGGCAGTCGCCATTGTTTGAGACGAACAGTTTTCTTACGACTTTTAGCCACGATGTCTTTGCCAAGTCTGTGCTACTACCAAGATCGAACCAGAAGGGTAGTCGAAGAGAGTTTGGAGGTGGCCTTGGCAATTTGTAATTTGGAGATGCATTGTTTGACCACTGCGAAAGTAAGCCTATATTGTTAGTTTTGAAAATGTGGATGTTTTATTATGCTTTTGCGAAGTATGCTATTGAAGTTGTTAATTTCTTCTTCATCCAAAAATTGGACCCATCATTTTGAAAAGTACTTTTTTTCTCGAATTTTAAGTTTGAGAAATCAAAATTCCCTTTGTTCGATCTTATATTGGTAGAGAAGTATTTTTCGGGTAAATTGTAATTATTACTAAGTTTTGCTTTATTTTTAAATATAAATTTGCCTAACTTCTAGCCTGGTTCAACCAGGCTCTTTTTTGAGACGCTGTGCGCGTCTCTCTTTTTTTTTTGAAAAGACAATCAGCAAAAGCCACGAGAACGGCAAGTAATCAGCTGCAATTAAAAAGACAAGGTAAGATTTGTTTTTCCCGTGTCGATAAAAAATTTGGTCCTTCGAACAGGATATTAATTTTCGAAAAATAATTGTGGAATCGGTGATTGCAGGACTTTCCCCTTATTTTTCGTTGTTCTGAAGCAAGTGGTTTTCGTTGACAAAAGCCCCGAAAAAAATCGTTTTCTTTTTGTCGATTTTCGTGGAAATTCGATTAATATGTGTATGTATATTTTTCTTTTCCATTTCGCCTAGGCATTTATTGCGAGCAAATCCAATTCGCTTAACCTTTGCTTAGCAAGGCATTCCAGCCGGCTTTAAATCTTAACTAGCCCCATTTATGGATCTTCCTAAATAATTGATTGAATTTTATCGGTAAAGGGACAATTTAGAAAATTTCGGGCCTTTTTTATCCATTTTGTTGTTGGACAATGGCACCCGCTCTTTCGGCTTCCAATACTCAACAATTGAATAGATATATCGTTCAAAGAACTGCTTTTTTAAATAGGGCAAAGGGGCATACTCGTTAGCGGTAAAAGCCAAGTCTGATGACTCTCAAATTTATGAACTCCAGAATACTCTACATACATCGAAAGAATATACAAAATTTCAAAAAAATCATAACAATATCTTTAATTTAACTTCCGCTTTGGGGGCACAAGAATTTTTAGAACAGGATGAAGTTAGGGCCCCTACTTCGGAGATGTTTTATGAGTTCAAAGCAATTTATTTCGAACTTGTTAGTACTGGTGCATCGTCCGCACCCATTTCGCAATGTACAAAAAAATCTATCAAGCTGAAGCTTTTAGGAGTAAAACTTTTTTCGGGCAACTGTGTGTAAAAGTGTAAGAGTGAAGAGCATTTCTTGACATGTTTTATTCATCTCGATATCGATATGAATTTGGAGGGCGAGCTCTGAAAATGATAGACTGATTGCTACAAATGTTTGGCATGACTTTTTTCCTTCGTTGAAAGGTGATGGTAATATTACCGAGTTGAGCAAAATCTTGAATACATTTGCATAAAATTTGGAGTCACTTAGAGAGTAGCAATAAATTTTCATTTGCTTTTGTACAAAATTCCGAGCAACATACTTAATAGATTTGAACTTTCATATAAGGAAAAATAATTTCAAAACTTCATATCCAAATCATTATGCGCTCGTCTCATTGAAGAAATCACAATCAACACCTGGTGTTCTCATAGCGGGCGGGGGTGTTTGTTTGTTATGTAGGGCGGAACATTCTTTAGCAACTTGCAGTAAATTTTTGAGGAAAACTCCTTATGCCAAATTTAATTTTATAAAAAGTATACATTTGTGTCTGCTTTATTTTGGAGCACACGTTGTTAAATCTTGTCCTGTATCCCGGATTTGTTGATCTGACTATCCCCACAATGCTTTGCGACACTTTTCAAAAGGTAATAAATGGTAGTAGCAGTTCTTCAGGTAGACAACATGCATCGTCAACGGGGAGACAAAATGAAAATCGAACACCCGTCATATATTGTTATTAATGGTTTTTTTAAATGAAAATGAAATATTTAAAGTTAAACTTACCCACAAAATTCAAAATTTACCCTATTAATTAAATTAATTAATATACCCTATTTGACGAACGGATTGAAAGTTAATTTTTCCCTAAATATTTAATTATAAATTCTCACGTTCATAACGCCTTTTTAAAACTGTTGAACTGTGGTGGATGATCGATAAAAACAATAAATTATTACCGACTGGAAATAAACATCTCAACATATTGCCCATACTTCAGGTATAAGTTACATGCTGATAAGCCTACTGCAGTCCGATATCTGCATGCATTTTTCGCACTAGAGCTTAAGTAGAAGTCACCAGAAATTGTTCGGAATATTAGGCGTCCAAATGAATTACGTTAATACTTTTACGTGTTATCAAAGTACACTTGAACGTATCGTGAATGAAAGTTTGGAAGTGGCCTTTAACATATGCGACGAAAGTTTATTAGGCTTTACCACTGCTAAAGTAAGTTGCTATACATTCATTACTGATTTATTGTTTATTATAATAAATTTCCTTTAATACCCTTAGTTAGTTCAGCTGCTTATTACCTTCTCAGACATAAATAAGTAGTTTTTATTTGTTTTACGAATTTGAAATTTTAAATTGGATGGAAAAATTCTATTGTTATTTGTTTCATGCTTATTTATTTATCAAGAAATTATTTCAGTGCACGCAGGCTTTTTACTGATGGCATATTTTTTTCTGAAAGATAAATGTTTAAGTTTCTCCCTGAAAAATACCGTTGCAAAATTATGCAGAATATTTCATTAACCACTCGCACGCAGGCTTTTTTAAATGTCAAGGATCTCGAAAATTATTGTAGATACAGAGCTCCTGAAATACGCAAAGTTTCGAAACTTCTAAACCCTTTTTATAAACTAAACTGCATGTTATTCAAATTTGATGCCGTTATTCGGTATTTGTATCAAAAACTTGATATGACACAACTGACACACATTAATATTAACGTTTGTAAATTAAATAAACAAAAATTATAGCTTCATGTTTATCACATATTGCATCAATAGATTCTTAGGAACGAGGTAAAACTCAAACATATTAGTCATCTCTTGATTGATGATTACATTTTTTTAAATATAAATATTATTCATTTAATTAAACAAATATATATTTATCTTTATATGATTTATTCATTGTTATTCTTGTTTTTTAATTTCCATCATCAATTGTTCTATTAAATTTAGAATATTCTTCGCAGAGTGTTCATTTTTCTTAAAGCAGTAATAGAGTGCCCATAGTAATTACAAGAAACCAGTAGTGATTAGTGCAGTATTGTCAAATAATTTAAGGAATTTTTATGTAATTAATGAAAATCTGTCTTGTTCAGAAGATTTGACTGAAGCAATATCCAAAGTTTGGGTTCTGCAGAAGTAGAAAAATGTAAGATGAGGGATGATATTAATTAATTATTATATTAATGTTCATATCAGCATTCGATAAAGATACGGTGTTGTCGAAGCGATTGTCATATAAAAATATGACAATCTGAACTTTTAGTTCTTATTTATTTTCATAAATGGATTTTCATCAAGTAAAAACTAACTGAGTTCAAGATGGACAGTTTTGATTTACAAGCACTTTTCAACTCCAACTAAAGCGCCAAAATTCTGCAATAATCCTTTTAGCAACGTAGAATATATAACCAATTTGGCAATAACTTATGCAAAAACAAATGAACTATTTTCTAAATAATTAAGTTTAATTAGTTGCATTTTGGCATAGATTCTGGCTGTTGAGCTTGTATTGTACCGAAGTTCTCCGACTACTTTTGGTTCCACTTATTAAGATTTTTTCGGACTCTATTAGTAATTATTAAAACTGAGAAGTGATATTGAAATACAATAGTTAAGCCATATATGATCTTTCATTATCACACATCAGGGAGAGGTGCGTTTCTTCTATTAGATTGCATTATTATGGTAATGGCTGCGATAACTAATGGAAATGAGTGTAAATTACAGTTGTTAAGATTATTTATAATATAAGTGTTAATTTATACCTCTGCTTAAGTTCTCCTCCAAAAATAGTCTGAAGTTTCATAAATTCCTTCTTTTTCTTTTTTCGGATGCAACTGTTTTCCAGATTTTTGACATATTTGACCAGACACTGAGCTCCGCCTTCGTGCTGAATACGGGATACTGGCCGTTTTATAACACGGTGAAGAACCAACCTCTCTGTGTGTGCGGAAGGTACGGATTGCTATGTAGACATTACAGACAGTCTTCATATTGGATGGATTTAACCCCAGTAGCCTTCGACGATACGCCCATGTTCTCGACCAGAAACAACATGCAATTGTCCGTATTGGTAAGATAAGTTGTGGCAAACCAGTGTTAGTTGAATTATGAGTTTAGTGTCATGAATTTCCCACAAAAGTTAGGGGTTGAGGAGACAAATATTTTGAGAATAGTAAAAGCAATGTCAACGTCAAGAGAATGCAGTAATTTACAGAATAACCATTTTTGATTGTTATCTCCCTTATATTTAAAAATAAGAAAGTTGTAGTTTTAGCGCTAGTAGAAAATGGTAGTTAAAAGTAGACACTAAAAACATATATGTTTGCGTAATAATATGTTTGCGTAATAATTGAAAAGCAGAACACATTATGCAAGAACTAGCTAGGCCGCTGAAGTTTATGATAAAGGTCCCTATTCTCCCTTTAATCAGCTTTTTAATTAGTTAAAAGATCAGCTCAAAAGCGATAGTTTCACTCGATACCTCATAAACACATTGTTTGAGGCATCTTTAGTTTCATGCAACTCTCTATCTTTAAAAAGAAACGAAATACTATTCGATATGGACACCATGTACACACATGGACACCGCGTACTTGACTAACTCAAACTCTAGAAGGAACAATGCAAAACAAAAATGAATCTTCAATGTACCAGTAAGAAACAATAAAAAATATAATTTTAATTTCTTCAAACCATCATGAAGTAGCCAGCCGAAAACGAAGACACGTTAGGATTATTGATATGACATGTTATTTTTTTGCTTTCCCTTTTTATAGGTCATCAAAAAAATAGTTTCAGTCCTCCCGCATAAAACAAAAATTTGTACATTTTTCGCATTTAAGACTTCTTCTATCGAAGTGGCGCCGGTTACAACGGGCATGCCTGGCTACAATATGTTCATCAACCTAAATCTCCAATATAAAAGGATGGAAAAACGCGCAAGACGCAGGCGAGCCGAGACAAACGTCGTAAATTTTCAAGAATATATCGTTTTTCCAGTGGAAATATTTTGCAGGTAAGTTGTAGCCACCGCGTTCAGCTGCAACGCTATCTTTATCCACGCTCAGGATAATTTGGCTCTGAAACTTAGTTGTGGAACATTACATTAAACGCAACTTGGCGCTGGTGGTAAGTTTTGAGATAGATAACATGCAGAGATGGCTTTTGAACTCTCCCGATACGTCTTTTCTAACAAGTTAGACAAGATACCCACTCATCGAAGGGTAAATCACTGAAAAAGCATATAACATCTCTTAAACTGTTCGTTACAGGTAAAAAAGCTTTCTCACTAAAGATATTAAAAGATAACCGTGGAAAAGAGATTTTGCTCTGACATCCACTCAGTAAACGCTTTTATTGCAAATTATCCGAAAAATTTTTGTGAAAACTTTTCCACCTAGGTACTTATTAAAATAAACAGCTGAGACTCCCTAAACTACTGAACGAATTTTAACAAACTTGTACCATATACTCACATATTAATCCAAAATTTCCAGTCCCGTTGTAATGAAGCGATATTCTGTATTTAAAGAAGAAGTGCACAACCAAAATGTAATATTCCTTATTTACATTATTTTCCCTTACTAGGGGACTTGTAAAATTCCTTTTTTGGGATGTGTTACAAAATAGTATATTATGCAATATTCTGCAATAAGTTTTTGATAAACAATTTAGCCACTAGTTGAATTTGGCGCGAGCGGAACTCGACCTTCCGCATATTTAATAAAAGAATTACATACTATACTTATTCTGCGACCACCAATTTTTGCGTACATTTCTACCAAACATCAAGGATACATTCACAGAACAGACCATCCGTGGCTAAAAACTACCGAAAGCATCCGATCGCTCCCAAACACACGACTAAAATAATAGAAATGTCTCAAGAGACTCGCGACCTTGGGTAACGAAGCTAAAGGACGCCTTAAAATAACACTTGGGGGTAAAAAATAAAAGATTTCCCATTTTTTTCCATTACTTACATTCTACTTACCCCATAGATTAAGGTAGGGGTGGTACACAAAATATTTTAAAGATATTTTTGGTAAGTCAAAGGGCAGTAACGGGCTACTGGTGTGAGCAGAAACAAGAGAAGAAACAATTTAAATAATACAAATCATCAAATAGCATGTACCCAAGATTATTACTATATTATATTGTTGGCGTTCGAATATAACTATTAATGTTCTTCATTTCCCTTTTGAATATTTCTTAGAAATTTGACAGGGATTTATGATAAACCAGGAACAATCTAACTAACTAAGCTGATATTTTAAAATGGCATTATGCTCCAGAACTCCCCAATTATGCTCCAGTGCATAATTGGGGCGTTCTGGAGTTCCAAATTTTGCAATACCCTGAAATTCAAACATGTTCCTCAAAGTCTTTCTAAATTTACCGTAATGTTGTAAAACACATCTGAATTCCCATAAAATTCTTGATCTTTGTACACTAAAACACCCCAGTGATTTACCCCTCACTACTGACGTTACTGTTTGGGAAATTAAAAACACCAGCCTTCAATTAGTGGTGACGTTTACTCGGCTACTTTCTTTCCAGATACAATTTGCAAAGAGAATACTACCCTGCATTCCAAAGCGTAATGTTTAGGCCTAACCCATTACTGGCCGACTCATACGGCACTTACTTCCCGCGACTTCTCAAAGTCAGATCTACCGTATTAAACGCGGAAGGTCAGAATAACACCAGCAGACATACCTTCTCAGTGCCACTCGACCGAATGCCCAATTTCACGCTCATGTTGCAACACGTCAACTTGCCTCGGTTTTGTCACGCCACTCAAACGTCCGCCATTTATCCAGACGCCGTGCGCAAGATGCGAAATCAAACTATTACTTTCCATCGCGCAACCCAGACCACAATAGATGAAGACGTGGAAAACGAATTGCAGACGTATCAACAGAGAGTGGAAGATCTTAGAAACTTATGGGACGAATCTGCTTATATTCGAGTTTTGGAACGGATTGAAAACAGCAAACTCGAGACACCAAACGACGAACAGGACAATCATTTGGTTTTAGTGCACGACATTCCGGCGTCAGCAAATGGACATAGCCACAAGGTGGACACTGCAATCAACCTTTCCGCGAGAACGAACTGTACTGCTGGGGTTGAACAGACTACACCGTATACCAAGGACTGTTACTATCACTATGCCCAACCGTGGCCAAACCCGAGCAATCAGGAACCAGTTAAAAAGTACAACGCTAGAAAATTTCCAACATATGGCCCGTATAGGGATGCTTTGATGGGAGGACGCAAGAGGCGCGTCTCCACCACTCCTTCCCAAAGTATGGAGGCGGACAATCGAGTGACATATGCATCGGTGGTGAAACAATCTCTTAACGATTCTGGTGTTGGCTCTAGCTCCGTTACGTTGACTGTGGCGGAAACTCAAAAATGCGGACAATCCGGAACAAGACCTACATCTACGTCAGCCAATGTTGTGAGTGGAAACGTGTGGTAATATTTTGATGTACCTGAATGCTCCATTTATATTTCAGTGGCTCGGGGTCATTGCGCAAGAGGGGAAATTAAACCAAAAAGAGGACGAGGAGTTGGCTTATGTTAGCGAAATGATAAAGAAACTTGAAGACGAAATTAAACGCTAAAGTTGCATTCTAAAATGAGCTGTGAAAAATACCGACAATCTCAAATTTTTCAGGTTTTCAATGTGCAGATCAATTTATTGTGTTTTTCTGGTATAAAGGAATAATTTTCTATAGGGCTATATTATAGCCTCCAGAAGATTTGCTTTAAATATTATTGACTTCTCGTAACTTATTAATCACGCGTTCTCACAATTGTAAGTGTAATAATGCTGCTATGAGGATATTCTTCTCATGGCTCCCCGCATTTTAACCCTTTCAGGACGGCACCACTTTGCCGCAAAAGTGTTTCACAGACGGCTGTTTTTTACGTACCCTGTGGACGAATGTCATATATATCGGTCACAGAAATATACTTGTGGGACCCTTTATAACGACGCAAAAAATACTTTTTTTTAATGAAATACCTTTATTTTAGTGTAAAATATATTTTTTAACTAACAAACTTTTGATAAATATTAAAAGATGTAAATGAACTTATACAAAATATTCTTAAATTCAAATATAAAACTCATTATAAAAAAAAATGCGTAAAGTATTTGTTAGAATTTTTCCTTTGTGTGGTAGATCTGGAAACGTGGAGTCATACATCTGGAAACCTTTCTTTGCTGTTGTGTGTGAGCGTACAACACATCATCTATACGCGGTTTTTGTCTTTTCTGTTGAGGGAACTAATATGGGGAAATGTCTGTAGTGTAGCTATATCGTCAGTTACGGAAACGGAAGTGGGCTTATTGGCATTGAATTTGTATCTGCAATAACAAAAATTAACTTCATTAAACAGAAGAACTTGAGAAAAAAGCAATATATGTGAATAATAGCCAACAAAATCTATAAAAACCTTCTGAAAATCCCAGTAGTAGATTTTGTTGAAGCTGGACAAGTCTGTTTGCATTCAACACACCGATATCCAATGTATGAAAGAATAATTTCTTGTACCAATTTATGGTCTTCCGCATACAATCAATGCTGCTCATCATCATATACTAACGGTGTACTGCTCCTCTTTGTTTATTATAGTTAATCACACATTTAGGTTTCCTCAAGGACTCTTCGGCGGCATTGTCAATTTTATCAAGTGTAACCATTTTGTTTTTGTGCATTGTTGTTATCATTGTGTCCCTCCTCTTTCCACTTTAAAACCAGGCAGATCTCCGAACTTCTCCAGTCTACTTCATCTTTTTCTAATTTTCCTTTTAGAATCGGCATATGAAGCCTTTTAGGTCTAACAGTCCCACAAGGATTTGTTTTGTTTTAGTGAATAAAATATGATAAGATAGGACTACTATAGAAATTATCAGTAAACAGGGAGTGACCTTTGTTTAGATACGATTTCATAAGCTGAGCTACAATATTATCAGTGACTCCTAATCCCGTAATGTTTTCTTCTGAATTATACGTGTCCTTGCCAATATAGACAATAGAATCTAGAATGTACCTGTTTCACAGTCACATAAGACATACATACAGCTTTATACCAAATCTGTGGCGCTTAGTTCTTATACATTGCTTAAAAAATATCATACTTTCATCAATCACTAGGTTTTCAAAAGGATAGAGTTGTGATTGAAACCTTTGCTTTATTTGTTCCTACACTTCTCCTTATGCAATCTGTTGACCAATGTTCTTTCGGAAATTATGAAACGTGCTGTATCTTCAGTAAAAAGATTCCAAAAATAATCTATTTCAGGTTAGTCTCTTCTCAATGTCATGTCCTTTACTCCACTCTGGCTGTCATCAAATTCATGCAACTTAGGCACAAAGTTCTTTTTTGTACCACTATCATTGTGAATGTTTTCGTTTGAGGTATCATGACGACTCTCTAAACTTACATTATGCAATTCTTCATCAATGTCTTCTGCAGAACTGCTTCCTCCACCATCACTTGGCAAATATTCACTACCACTATCAATAAATGGATCCTCTTCACTATCTGATCCCAACAATTTTTTGAGACTTCTTACTTCCTCGTCTGTTAGTCTGCAATAATCTCTTGTAGCGCTTTTTTTTTTCGCCAAGGTTCAGCTTCTTCTACGCACGATATTTTGTATGCAACTAAAACACTTATAAACACATGGTGTCAACTTTTTGAGATGTTTAACAAATGCGCGCCTCTGTTGTTGAGTGTGTGCCATACAGACGAGCGTCACATATATCCGAAAATGGCCGATATATATGGCACTAGTCCATATGCCAAATTTTCCAGTCATGATATATCAGTCAGTCGGCCCACTCCCAATTCAATTTTTCAATCCTGGCTGATTTTATCATACAAAAGCCTTTAAAGCCTAAAAAAAGCCTGACCTATATATCGGTGAGCTGCCAATTTTCCCACTGCCACCGTCTTGAAAGGGTTGAGCTTTCAACGAAAGATTTTAAAAATCATTTAGGGGTTAGGATACCGCGACCATGTCAAGCCTAAATTTATACAAGGAATATTGCTATATTTGCTCTGTCGTGTCTGTATATCTTCACATGCCTAACAAATGTTCAGAAACAATTTTGAAAATTATACAACAAATAATGAATAATGAAGTCTAAATAGTGCCATAAAGGTAAGTACTGACGATTTCATAATATTAGTACATTTTCCGGTAAATAATAAACTAACTTTCAATAAACGGATCTACAAACTGATAAGAAAATTGTATGAAAATTAAAAAATTATAAAATATCAAATTTGGCTCAAATTTTTGGAATTTAGTGCTGCCAGGTTATATAATTACTATTATTAATTAGTTATTATTTGAAAACGAATAATTAGTAAGTCATATCGGAAAGAAAAAAAATTGTTCCTAAAAATAAAAGCAGAAATCATATTGAGGAAAAACAGTGATTATTTAATTCGTATTAAAATTACAGGGTGTTTAAAGTAAGCTTTTATAGTCGAATATTTTCAATAATTTTAGAATGTGTAATTTTAGACGTTTTCAGCACTTTGTATTTTCTGAGCGTAAATTCTCATTTTGTATCATATATAGTATCACCTGCTCCATCGGAAAATTTGTGGGACCACCTATATAACTATTTTAGTATGTTTTAGAGACCGCTGCAAATAATGTGTGTCAACTAATATCAAAGAAAACGTAATGCCGTACGGCCTATACTTTAAGATAATTTTGTAGTACTTAGAGGTAGCAGTTTGCAGCGCTTTATCAATAAAATATTTAAAATGCATACCTATTGCTATTTTCATTTAACCCATTCGCTAAACGTGTGAAATAAAGTGATTTATTAAGGACGATAATGGTACTTGAATTTTTCAAACATTATTTCAATGTTTACGAATGATTATAAAGATTTATTGAACTTATGTTTATTAGAAAATTAATAATTTTAGCAATTAAAATCTTTTTCTAATCCAGAAAAATTATTCGCTTTAGAAGACATTGTAAAAGAAATATAATATTTTATACAAAACATTGATTAAACATGGTATGGTATCTATTTCTGTGAGATCTTGTAGTTCTGCGGCGGAAATTGGTACACATCTTCGCAAAGGTGTGTAAATGTCAGGAAAGAAAAAATGCTACAGATGATGATACAATGTACTATAAACAGCCGTTACAACACCTGATCAGAATCTCAAATCTAATAGCCAATGTTAATTACAATTTTTGAAATAATATCTTGGTTGATTTTAATGAAAAAAAAACTTACATTTTGTGTTTTCTTTTTAAACAAATACGAGACGTCTTATTGACGGAAAGCGAGTTCTGATTGGCACATGCCCATATGTGGTCTCTAAAACCTAAAACCGTTGGGCGGAGTTATCAGATCTATAACCAAAGCCGTGGCTTACCTCCATCTACTTTTCGTCCAGTATTCTTCTGATTTGCAGTTCATGTGATGGAAAGTTACTTGGTTACTCAAATATATATTTTCTTATTTAACAAAGGTAAACACGGCGTAGCGCCCCCGAACGGCTGTTTTGTTATTTATTGCTGAGAGGAAGTTACGCGTGCGCGACGTCTTTGTCTCAGGTTCCAAGTGCACTTCGAAAATCACTATCTTCATTAATTAGGTATTTGTAATGTCTTACACCTTTCTAACTTGAATTGAAGTTCACTGAAGTTCTGGATAATGACGTCACATCCTTGACATGCCGTAACAATACGCCTCTTATAGTTATAGCAATGCGGAACCTTGTGACCTTGCGAACCCTTCTGAGCTTCTTAAACCCAACACACACGATACAAGTTTTGATTGAGCATTAAAAATAATTCCCCGCTAGAGAATCGTTACAGATTCACTCCCCTTATTGACCGGTCATCATGCAGTTCCGACGTTGCTACCGGGTGTTGCCCGATGTTTTGTTTATATACTATAATGATGATTCTCGTAGTTGTGTGTCTGGTTTTGTGTATTGAGTGTATAAAAGGAGTGGATGGACTGTCCTCCCTTATCAGATGGCGCGTGTATAGTGAGCGAGCGGAAGTTTTCGTGCTTTTGGTTTTCCTGGGAAGAAATCTACTCTTGTTGAGGATCTATTTTTCCTGGGGAATAATAAATTAAGGACCTGGTTGTGGCTGAGCAGATTGTGGTGCCCGTATTTGACTTCCCAGTTCACTTTTGTGGGATTTTGTTGAAGCACGTTTCCGCTAACTTTACCTTCGACCACTTATCTTTGAAAATCCTCCGGATTGGACCTAATGCATTCAAAGTAACTATTGGCTCTTATTTAAGTGATTATTTAATGTTCGCAGGGTTTTTTTGAGTTTCTTGAGTTCTTGTTCGTTTTCTCATGGACCACGTGTCGTCTACGATCCCGAACAATCTGCTCGGATACTGCGCCGGCATCATCAGACTTTGTACCGGCAGAGACCTGCATTTCGCTTACCTGTGAGATCTACAACGCAACGAGAGCAGATAAGCCATTCGTTTAATTTTAAGCGTTTCCGTGTTGTTTTCTTTTCTCTCTAATGTAATATAATTTATTAAACTTTAAATCGGTTATCAGCCGTACCGTAAGTGCCGATCTTTTGGGGGTAGCCTTTGGTTCAGTGAATACGGCACTGTTCTGTAGAAAAGAGAGCGCTTGATCTATAAGTACTGTTCTTTTTTTTAACGAGCGCAGAACATAATATCATAAAATAATTGAAGGTTATATAAATATTTTATGAACTCATCGTGTACACGATGGCAGAAGAATAAATCTGTCGCAAATTAGTGCACTAAATGCTGCCATTATTTCATTTGTTTCCTTCTTTCGTAAGCGCCTACCCAAAAATCACTTGTATTTTTCTTTTATTCAAATTTGTTGTTTATTATTATTCTTTTTTTTAAATGTTAGTATATCCAGCGATGTATACTCAGCTGTGATAAATCTAGTCGTTTTTTTCCGACTTTAATAAA